TACACCGATAAATAATCCAGAACCTTCTTAACGATCAATATCAAATTTGCAAACGCCCAAACAATATCGATTAGCCAACTCCAAATCCAAAACGACCAGTCCACTTCAACGACACCTTCACTTGGTTCACCATTTATGTTTCTGTTAGATTGGAATAAGAAATGTCCCAGATACCATAGAACGAGATAACCAATATATAAAATTACAAAAACAATAAGATTGCTTTTTACGAAACCGAAATTAGTGACTATTGTTGAAAAAACTCCTGAGGCGAAAATGAAGAGCTTTTCCAGAAATAGTAAAGTGCCTTCGAAAAAATGTCTCAAAAAGTCGAGGTTCAATTCTTTTCTTGGAACTTGGTACTTTGAAACTATGTTAAATTTGGGGAAAAAAAGTAAGATGAAAACAAGAGAGTATTGGAGGAATAGTACAAAATTTCTGTATAAATATTTTAATAATGAAAACCGATCAGAATTTGAAGTGTCATGAACTGAAAATATTTCAAAATCCTCTATATTAATGGGGTTTTCAAACTGCCTTTGAACATTACCAAGTAAGGTGTACTCAATATTGCGATAACTTAGGGTAGAGTTTATTAAATCGTTGGAATCAGCAAATTTTAGAGTCAAGTCTAACCCGAACTTTAAACCATCGTCGGTAATAGATATAACAGGATAAGTTCCAATATTTTTTGGCTTACAGAGTTTCCCAGCCATTACTGGATCATTGTAATCATTGTCGAATGCAAATATGAAGCTTTTTCGCGCATGGATACTGTTTTTATTAGAAGTTGACCATGGAAGCGGGTTATACCCTCCAATTATTACGTCCGATTTTTCGAGTTTGACTATCATAATGGTTGGACCCATATATTGACACGCCCTCTGGAAATCTGATTTACTAAAGCCGTCTCGGCTTCCACGAATTAGGAGGTTGTAATGATACTGCATTTTCCTATCTGAGCGTTTAGTCTGTTGTAAAATGAAATTGTGTTGAGTCTTAATCCACTGTGAGATGAGATTCATGTGCTTGATAGATATCAGATTTGATTCTAATTTTCCTACACGTTTAGGAAAATTTCGAAATTGCAAGCTCTCATTTGGATTCACGTAATACTTCACCAGTTCTTTATAAAATTTTTCTATTAACAATTATAGATATGCCGTTAGCTATCCGTTTCATATAGACTCAAAATATATACAGTAAATGTTTCACCTGGAAAAATTTTTGAATATGGGACAACATTCTTGGAAAATTCATTCCCAGAAATATAAGGCCATCTAATTACGTAAACAAAATTTTCCATTATTGACCTGAGATCATTGCATTGTTCTGCTGTCCAATGTTCGGGATCTCTCGCGAGATT